AGTGCTGATTTAGATAATGATGTTAGTGAGATTAGCATTTGATATTTCACCAGTTTGAACTTTGTACTGTATGAGCAATTCTTTACTGAGATTTATTAATAAATCTTGTGTTTCTGTTGTAGGTATGATTCCCTTGCCACTGCAGAAATATTGAAGAAAAAGAAGGAATGTTATTGAAGCGGACACATACATAATGTACTAGTAGATGTGCAGTTGGTGAAGCCAGAGAATCGGATCCTCTTTGATCATATAAATGGGACAATGGATCATGCTGAAGTGAGAGAACTGACTGGTACCTGACCACAAAACCATGATCCTTATGACCTCCAATTACCCTCTACCTAAACAACATTGAAGCTTATGGCTTAGGAGTCCAGAACCATGCTGCTTTTTCCTCTGTTCACCTTGCTTTGGTTTTGCCTTGCTGCGGGCCATGCTGAAGTGACAACGGCTGGAAGCACCACCATCAAAGACAGTAGTACAGTACCACCTAGCAATAACAGTGACAGTATCAGTAACAATAACAAAGAGACCATTGAGGATAATGACACCATACAGAGAGGAACCATCAATGGTACCTTGAGTACCGTTAGCACAAAGCGCCCTAGTACAACCACAAGCCGACCCCAACCATCGCCCAGTGACAGCTCTGGCGTTGATGTGATTGATCTCGGCCTTCTGCATGGTACCAATGATCCTCATTTTATTGATATAGGTGACAGTAACGACAGCAGCCATCATGGGAACCATTCTGTGCACTCCACGGATCACCCCACACATTCCCACGAGGGAATTCACGTCGCCAGTTGGAACTTTGACTATGTGAAAGCGCCTTTGGTCATAACTCTTTTCATTACTGTCGCAGGTTTTTGTAAATTAGGTGAGTGAACTAAAATCAGGCTAGATTTATGATTTATTTAGTGCAGCTTAAAGAGCTTGTTGTACTGTAAGAGGGTCGATATAAAGTCTTAAGTCGCATTTTACAGTGAAGGCAGGTCAATCCTTCTATTTTGGCTGTCTAATTGAGTTAAGCTTACCAAGGGCAGTAAACATTAAAAGAATTCCATACCACCTAAATCACTTTTCATTAGGCAATGATAACATTTATTTTAGCAATATGTGCATGGTCACTTGTCGTATTTAGTTTGAAAAAAGGTCGACCTCTTTCTCTTTGTCAAAAATAGCAACTCCTCTTTTCTCCCACCTATGTCTCCACCCCCCTCCCCCTCCATTCACTGGGTGTGGTGTGTGACCAGTCATAGGCAGCAATAACTTGGCCTGCAGGGAAAGGTCACTGCAAGAAAAGTCAACCTTTCTTCAATGTAAACAGGGTTCAGATGAAGACACCAAATGGCCTAAACATTTTTTTACTGTACTGTAATATGTAATCCATTATGTCAAGCATTCTGGTCATTTTAAGATATCAGCAAGAGTATTTCGCTTTTTTACATGTATAGAATTTTAGTAATTATATCAATCATTGTCATTGAAACATATATATGTATCTTGAAGTTGGCAACAGAAGATATCCAAGACGGCATAAAATTGTGCCCATTTAGTAACAATTTTATGGCATGTCATTTTGGCTGTGAATAACAGATAAGTAATGCCTACATTCATTTGAAACCTGTATACAGTTACTCGTCAATTGTCATAGTCAGCAGTGATTTCCTTACCAAAAGGTTTCTCATGTAACAGTTATTTTTTTAAAAGAAATGTCATCGTTTCACCAGAACATTCATAATGATGCCCTTTATAAATGAAAATACATCGGTACAATGTGTGTGTGGAATTTTTTTAATGTGATTTCCTGTCTTTGGTTCTCAATTTTATTATCTGATCAGACTCTTATTTAACTCCTTTTTTTATGTGAAATGTTATTTGCGGGGGTATGCCTCTTTTCTCTTCTTGGAGATTGTTTTTCTGCATCAGTGGGCTTTTTATAATCACGCTGTTTTGTATTGGTAACATATGTGTCTGCTTGAACTGTGCTCAGGTTTAAACGTACTTTGGCAGGGCATTGAATGTGCATGCAAAGGGCTCGCTGTAGTAATTTCACAGATTTAAACAGAATCTGTAAGCTGTAGTAATAATTAAGATTTTCTGAATTGATTGAAAAGTTCTGAAAGTTGAATTGTGGCCATGTCAGGAATCATGTTTTTAGGAATAGTTGAAATTATAATTCTAGAACAAAAATATTGTCAAAACAAAAGTCAGCTGTGATTGATCACCACATAATGAGACTTGTTTGATGTATCACAAAATGACCCGATATTTCTTATCATCCCTCCTCAGACTTATATACCCTAGATTACTGAGATATCTGAGAGTAAAAAGGTCACCTTTTCAACAAGTTGAAACAAGACTAGATCCATTCACTAATTTGGCTCAAATGGGACATCGATCCTTCCATTGTAAAACCCAGACTGTTTTGAGGCAGAGCATTCCCAAGTTGCCAATCCATGACATTTGTGCTGCACAAGTGAATACACAGCATCCAAATGTCTTCTGATATAATCAGCAGTATTGTGTGGTCCAAGAATGCCATCAAACCATGAGGCTGAGGATGAATTAACTGTATTGGCCATTTTGGTTATTGAACACTTCATTGATCGCATGACCTGATGGTACCTTTAGGACACTTAAATGTCCATTTGGTTAATTGGATTTGACCACCTTATTGGCCACATAACCTGTTGGTACATGAATATCTATACCATCTGGTTCAGCCAAATTTACTTATATCTTAGGAGTTTGTATAATTCTGTTGTCCAGTTTGCGTCTAATGGTAATTACTATATATCTGACTGCTGTAATACAAATGTTGATGGACAACTTAGTGTGAAGTTGTATTTCAAAATATTTTGATGGAAAGTTTTAAAAACTAATGCTCATGGACTCAAAACTCTTAAAGAGAGCTTAATTAATTCCAACCTTTACCCATACCCTAAATCATTCTAATATAATATGCTGTTGATACTGTATGTGATATTTTATGGTTGGAACTGGAGAAATTCTGTCTCTGTGGTGTTGTCTGTCTGATGACACGTGTTGTGCTGCAGGGCGTAATAAAGATAGGGGTTAAGCCAAAATTTTAAAGTGATTCCAAATTCATTTTTTACTGAGACAGGCTGTTTTGGGCTCCATATACCAGTAAAATGATAATGAAAATCTGAAAAAAAGATATCCCAAATTGACATGGAAAGTCCATACATCATCTAATTAAGCAGCTGCCTGACTAATGCCCTGGACACAGAAGATATTGAGCCAATTGGTATCAATTAATTTTCTTTTGCTAATACAGGAATATTTATTTGGCAAAATTTTACCAATTTTTTCTTTATTATAAAGATGTTAAAAGCCACCTGAAGCATTATCCTTCTGCAAAAAAGTGTCCTCATTTGTATTTCACATCTCAAATCTGTGTTCAGCATTTAGTTTGGTTCATTGAGGCTAAGGCTGAAAATCAATTGGTTCATTTTCCTGCCCCATTTTGATAATTCTCTTGACACAATATCGGATCTTGTAGTTGAGTACTAACAATCTGAACTTCAGATCAATAACTCCTTTCTGAATCTTAACCATTATGTCCTATTAGAAGGATTACTAGAAAGTTAAATATATAATTAATAATGAAACTGACGTTGATTTGATCTAAACGTATTAATTAGGCTAACTTGTTTTGTTTGAATTGGCCAAATAAAAATTTTGGTCAATTAAGGATGAAATGACAAAAGTGATTATGAAATTACAATCTTATTCATCAATAAGCATTACTAGTAAGTGAAAATTCTTAGGGCACGCCTGGTTAATAACAAGAAGCAAATTCCGTGCTCTTTCAATATTGTATAAGTAAGATGTGCTGTGATTCAATAAATCATCTGAAGTGTAACAGGTGTGAAATGTTGGTATTTGATAAGAATGGTTCTAGCTACCAGCAATATGACAGTGGTAGAATATCATCATGTAACCAGTGCTTACCCAATGCACTTTCATCATCACATATATTGATAATTAATGTACACTGTATTCAGACTGTTTATGTACTGGTACAATTAACATGTGACGTGTAATTAATAAATATTAAGCTTGGTCATTTTGACTCAACTTCACCTTTTACAATGTAACATCAAATCTTGAATTAAATTAAGTATGACAGGAGAGATATTGAATCTTTAGTCTGAACAATTTTGATTATCTGCCTGCTGAACAATTTTTATTATCCATGTTTCAAACAGACAGGACAAGCTGGATACAATTGGGTGCCATGGTATTTCACTTTTAATCTTTGTAATTTTTATTGCACGGTCTTACAAAGTGAGAGTGGCTTTATATAGTGTAATATCCAGGAGAGATTACCAAAACATACTGGATGATTTTTTTTTCGGGGGATAACCCAATCGCATTCAACTTTCTACAGTTTTCCTGTGTACAAGGCAGAAGTATGTCTACACAGACAATCATGATGTAGTAGAGAGCATATTTCTTCAAAAGTTAGTATATTTCTTCTATATAAAACAGTCTGTAAACTGCTGAGCAGTAATAGTAGATGACACAGTGCATGGGTAACCAATGGCAGTCTATATACTGTATAACAGTGTTATCAGTGAACCCTTAGATTTATAATATTGACAAGAAATCATTTCCACTCATCATATGAATATCAGTCGTGCTGTAAGTCTAGGGTTTCCTTTTAAAAGAAGACTAAAAAAATCACAGCATGGTATTGATGAAGACAAGGTAGCAGCTATGTGTATTATTGAACAGTCTTTGGCTCTATGTTCACTTCAATCAGCTACATACAGTGTACATGTACAATAAAGGGAAACATTGATCAATAAAACATTTTTTATTCCTAAAAATACTATAATGAATTCCAGAGGAGAAACAAAAAATTACTGTTTATTGATGAAAGAAAATCCATTATGGTTAAATCTAATAAGCATTTTCCCCACATGACTGTTGCTGATTTTTTTTCTTAAATATTGGCAATGTTAAAGTTAACAAGTGGCAGCTTGCCATGTAGAGACTGGAATTAAATCTCATGGTCTTGCATTCACCCCCAAAGATCTCCCTAATTGTCCTCCTTAGATATTAAATCAACACAAAAGTGACATCAAAATTCTTTTTATTGATCTTGTTCACCCTGGTAAACTGTGACCCAAAGTGCCTTACCAATTCTTAATCAATAAAGCTTTTTCTTTTCATCTGACTGTTAAAATGTAGTAGTCAATGAATTTCAGAAAAAAACATATACTATTTCTGGCTTTGATTATTGCTAGCCATCAATATTGACAAAATCAAACATCAATATTTTATCAATATTCATATTATATGAGTTTAAGTCACAAAATAATGATTACAGTACTGCAGTGTAAGTAGATTGTATAGTTAACTGCAAGTGGGAAAGTTATTTAGCTAAATATTTATAATTTGGTTTGGAGAAAAAAATCAGAAAAGCCTTTAATGTTGAACTGTCTCTTCTATAATTTGCCTGTGGTTACTAAATAATTGATTGAAATAGCTTTTATTAGTGGCTGATAGATAAGATATATCTTTAGAACAAGGTAGTAGTTTGATTCTGTTTTATAGTCCTTTCAACTATGGTGCGTGTACTTGTAAGTCTAGAGTAAAGTTTGAAAGGTTTTTGAGTAATAAAGACTGAAGCAGGCAAAAAATTTATGATTGTAGCCAAAGTTAGTATTTTAGTAAGTTTAATGTCATACAAACTTTGGATTTTGATATTTTAAGTTAAATTTATTGTTTATTCACTGAACCATAAAAAGGACCAGATTTAAGTGATGTTTTGCTAAGAAGAAAGATTGCTCGTTGTTAGCTTATTCTGTTTGGCTTATGTTATTTCTGTTTACCTATTCAACAAAGCTTTATTTTCTTGGAACTGATTTGAAAACATTGCCACAAAACATTTTTGTGGTGCTGATTTTTTTTTCATATTTTGTAGATAAGGTTGATTTTGATAAAGCTTGTATTTCACTTCAACCTTCCCATCTCATCTTTGATTCATTTATTCTCAACTTCTCTAGTTTATGTTTCTTGGGGGATAAAATGTCTTCCTTGTCTGCTTACAAAATAGTCTTATCTATGATTATTCCGCAGTTTTTTTTTTTTCAACTGAAGACTTTTTAAAAGGAGGTAATGTAACTCTCTGTAACCAGGTTCTGTTCATATTACTTTATGTACGTCTTTTTAAGAGTTTTTCATGTCCCAAGTGCAGGGGTGATCCTGGGATCCAGGCAGGTGCAAGATTTATCACACCTGCACATAGTGGAGACTTTCTGGTTACCTTTAAGTTGGAGATGTCATTTAGTTTAACTTAACAGATTAGCTAGTCTGTCCCTGTATGCCTAGCATCTCAACCAGGTTATTACAAGTGCCTATGCATTGAAAATGTACTAGATCATGCTGTTTTTTACACTAGGCTTTTTCCATTGAAAACATTTAATTGCATTTTAATAATAGAGCAGTTGCTCAGTTTCTATTACCCCAGAGTAACTCTTGACTGGGTTAATAAAATGCTCAGGGGAGTGCCTGCTGCATACTTACATTATTACAGTGTAGTGCAATTACATTACAGCACGGAAAAGGGAGTGATGTGCATGTTACATGTACGTTGCAGATGTGTTGCTGTAATACTCTCTCTTTCTTTTTCTCTCTCTCTCTCTCTCTCTCTCTCTCTCTCTCTCTCTCTCTCTCTCTCTCACACACACACACACACACACACACACACTCACACACGTGCAATATAATATTATCCACAGGTGTGAACAGTGTTTTTTCAATGGTAAAAGAAGAGCAATTGGGGCAAATATAAAATAGATGACAGTTATTTTTTACCATGAGTATGCACAGGGTATAGGGATGAAAAAATCCTTAGTTTTGTCGCATTTTACTCATCATACTTTTTTCCTGGCATGGAGGGGGGTGGGGGTAGATAAGGAGAGGCACATGCCCACTGTAAATGATTTTAAGATATGTGGCATTATATGACTTAACTATTATTTTTATTGTCATTTTCAGGATTCCATCATGCTGATTTCCTATCATCTATAGTGCCTGAGTCTTGGTAAATATAGATTTGTCACATGCCTATTTGAAAAGCAAATATTAAGAATAATTATAATAATTAAGGTTCACATTGAAATGACAACTCAGTCAATATAATTGCATACCTTTTTCGTGCAGTGTGATTTTATTGATTGTATTTGTAGCATTTAATTTTGCTTTCTTTCTATCTTCTGTCTATTGATTGTAAACAATACCTTATAAAGTGACGTGTTATTTTTCAGTCTGCTAATTGTACTGGGGACCCTCGTGGGCGTGATTTTATAGTGAGTATCTTTTAGTACTCTTCTAGTACTGGCAGTAAGTAGTATATATAAAACTGTACCTATCAAAACAATAACTGTAGTATTTTAATATATTAAGATAATACCAACCAAGGATTAGGATATTAGGCGCAATATAAGTTGTGGTCACTGTTCTGTTGCCAGTGTTTGGTATGGAATGCCCTGTATTCTGCCTATATGAATTTACTAGTGCCTCCCCCCCCCCCCCAGGGTTTGATTATACCGAGATCATGGGAGACCAATTTCTTACTTCAAGACTACAACTTAATCATTTTATTGTGTGCTAGCAATTTTCATTGAGATGAAAAATATGTGAAATAGTTGATTATTAAGAATTACAAGGGTTGTTTTTTTATAATGAAGAGATTGTCAGTAACTTCAATATAAGATGATTACAAAAAAAAAAAAAAAATGAGTGAAAACTAGCAACAAAAAAGTAAGGTTAATTGATTCAATGTTTTTTTACCTTTTGTTTTATTAATTACCATGTGATGCTGAGAAAAAGGTGTTTTACTTGTTCCTATATTTCCAGTTTTGCCAGGGATGACAGCGTGTTTCCCACTCGCCTTCCACCTGATGTCTTCTTCCTGTTCCTTCTGCCACCGTAAGTTGATGAATTAATGATTATATCATTACGCGCCCGAAGCCAGCAATTCCAAATAGGAAGGTGGCATTTTTTTCTTTTTTTTTTAGGGAGACCACAATAGCATATAACCTAAATCATATTTTGGGCAACCATTCTATGACCAAAAAGGAGGCTTTTTTGAACCCCACAAAGGCACTGCCTATTATAGACCTGTGATATTTTACCCCTTAAAATCATCTGAAACACTGGTATACATTCTGGGCTTCTTATTCTGGCATATTAACTTAATCTAAGCAAAATAGTGGTGATGTTTTAAGCTTTTTGTAGCTAATTAAAGCATAAAAAGATAGGAAAACTGTCCAAATTTGAATATTATGTTCTTTAATTTTCTTTAATGAAGTGTTTTGCATTTTTTTTTTTTTTTCAAAATTTAAGTTTGGCAAGTCTTAGCCTGGACATAAATTGACTTAATTAAATCCAATGACAGATCTTTCAACATTTTTCTTTTCTTTTTGCTACTGTGTCTGTGGCCCTTTTCTAAGAATCAGACAAGATCAGATTAGTTGGATGGTATATCCACCGAAGTGTTGCACCACTTTCTCCAATCATTGAAAACTGTTTAAGCAACTAAATGACATGATCTTAGTCTGTCCTACAAGATCACTGCAACACTTAGAATTACACTGGGGATATATAAAATCAAATAAAGTTTGGTAGACATCTAAATGAGCAATTGAAGCTGAACATGTAATTGTACTTGGCTGATTTTGTTTGCACTGAAAGCTTTGTTAGTTCTTGTTTCTGTGTCTTACGTTTGAAGGATAAAGCTTTCAAAGCTAGAATTCTCTTGATCGATCACTGTCTTCTGATTGACCAAGTTTGTATCACATATTTGACAGAAAGAAAACCACTTTTCTCCAAACATCTCCCACTATGCTAGTCCTTACACGACTTTAAAAGATCAAAGCTGTAAAAACATTACCGTTCAGCGTTACATATTGTCAGCAGCCCTAGTAATGTAAATGTCTTCTGGCCCTTAGAGGTTTCCCCCGGCCACATTGAAGGATGAGTTTTCTGGAGATAGTGGCACTTTTCATCTCATGACAACAGATTAGCACATTAGTAAACCTGTTATCCTTGTGCCTCTGGGGGTTGGAGATCATTGGAAGGTTAACATATGCATACGTTTGGGCATGAACGCGTTTGCTATTTCATGCCAGAAATTTTGTGGATTTTTTCCTCCTGCAGTGTACATGCTATCCCATAACAACATGCATTGGCAGGATTCTTTACTTGAAAACATAGACTGTGTATTTGGGAAAGCGGGGGAGGGTGGGGTACACTTGAGACTGGAATGGGGTGGGTTAAGCGGATGCACACTGTGCTTTCCCTGAATCTGCCATTTTATAATAAGGTTGTTACACAAAATTAACTGTGAGAAACTGCCAGTGGCTGCCACTCCCATGTTAGACTCTGCAGACATACTTGACGCTGTAATTTAAGGATAAATGGTCCAACCCTAAGTGCAAATCCATAGTCTTTCGAGACTGACTGTGAATGAATGTTGCACTAAATGAAATGAATATCAGAGAACTATGATGTTCAGATATTGTGGATGAAGTTGTTTACAGTTTTAAGACTCATACATAATACAACATTTTCATATTCTGTAACAAAAGATTATTTTCCCAAATATTAACATTTCAAAATTTCTTTTAAAATTGGTATTCATTTTCATGTGAAAATTCTGTGCATTTTTGAAAAAAAAATTAATTATTCTTCATTTAATTTTTTGCGATTGAAATAGTTTAATCACAAAGATGGCATTCCCATAACCACCACTGGTCTACGTGGATCTACCCAACTCGATCTGCGGGGACTCTTGCTGAGTGCAGTCAGCTAAACAGATTAACATGTCTCCTCCTGGCGATAAGTAGAGTACAGATAAGCTGGTGATTAATCGAGTACATTGGAAACAAAATGAGGTGTGTCATTCAATTTAGCTGATTGCACTTAGCAAGTCCCCACAGAATTGGAGACTGATGGTGTGTTTATTGGAATGGGGTCGTAGATTAGTAGTTTATCAGTCCAAATTGTAATAGATATTTATCTTTTTTTTTTTTTTTTTCAGCATTATTCTGGAGTCTGCCTATAGTCTTCATGACCGTGTGTTCTTCCAGAATGTTGGTACAGTGATCCTATATGCTGTGGTGGTGAGAGTTATATTTATTGCTTCAACAAATGTTACTACCCAAAGTGGCACAACTTAACCAAAGCATGTTTTGGTATTTTGTAATACAGACAGTGCTTTCATTGTACTTTCATTACACAGTAATTGCTTTAAAATTGAATATATTTTTTTTCAAATTTTACATGTCGAGTACGTTATCCATGTGATTCCATCTAGGGCAGACTTGTTATCTGCCTTGGCTCAGGTACATTGTAGCATACAAAGTTTAGCAAAAAGACCTAATCATATTTGATCTTTATAAGTTTTGATTTTATTTAATTACCTTAAAGGTGGATGAGATTGGGATTTTTTCCATGTTTTATTTGGTTTAATTCTTTTCTGTAGTTGGATGGTACAGCATTCAATAAAGTTGGTATTCTCAAATCAGATATATGTTTCATCTTTCATTTCAGGGGACAGTACTCAACTGTTTCCTACTTGGTAAGTGTCTGTTAACAATATCTCTTATTATATATGTGTAAGCTTTAGATTTACCGATTGATAAAATTTTATGATATTCTTGATAAGATTTAGGTGGATTCCTTTCTGGTGGTGCATTCTTCATATGGCCTGTTTTTCGTAATTTGTCTTGTACAAGAATGATTGCATTATAATAGTTATTTTGTGTGGAAAATATTACTGACAGTATAGAGCCAGTAGGATGACTTGTGACTTAGAAAACTCATAATAAACAATTTTTTAATCAGTGTCAAAAGCAATTTCCCATCCATCATCCATTGCTTCCCTGATTTCAGTAGTACAAATGTGTGTATGTTGTACCCCTGGTTTTCACAGAAATATTTATTAGACTTCTCTGAGTCTTTTAATTAAAACAGACAAGCAAAATTAATCAGTCTTGACAAAAATGTTTAAAAGGTAAGTAGACTGTACAGTACATACTTTCTGATACCACTTAGTCTAGCCATTCAATAAGTACACAGATTTCATTTACTTTAAGCTAATAAAGGAATTGATGATAGAAGTTATTAAGCATTGTGATGGATTGCAATATCTTAATATAAGTGTTTTTATTGTCTGTTTATTTTAATAAAATCTCTTGAGTAATTCATATGTTTGATTAATGATATAATATATTTACTAGATGTCTTTTGTATTTTTTTCTTGCTCTGGTCGTAGACTTACTATATTGCCAGCCTTATAATATTTCCAAAGTATCAGAGCTGGGGGGGGGCATGAGAATTTCAGGGGCATTTGGTTGAAGTTGATCAGGCCAATTACAAATTAATCAAAATCTAGGTGACAGTATTGATGGATGTGCCCCTGTGGTGCAGTAAACATAAGCCATGCAAGCTTGCTGCTAATGTCAGATCATTATTAAATCAGATGCATGCACAGATTAAAAAAAAACGTAGGGTGTACCGGTTCAGGTATACGTGCCAAATAATATATATTGCCACCCTCTAGCAATATATGCCTGGAACTTTTATTGCTGACACTTGAGGTGTTCTAACAATAATGCTTGGGTGACAATGTATCGTCTCGCACAAAATACTCCTTAGTTAATACATGACTCTACTAGTGCTCTCATAGCTGGAGTAGATATGCATGTGCAAGTCAAGCAGTATAATTACATGATGCCAAATGAGGAGTCATACCCCAGCCAGTCATGGTTGATTAAAACCATAATGATTAAAGCACTCACAGGGACAGTATTGTTACATTTTCTCTTGATAGATGGTGTATTGATTTCAATATATATCATCGTGAAAAAAATTTTTTATCATAACGATCCCACTGCATTTTCCTGGCTGCTTGTTGGGAATTCATATGACTAATTGCAATCGAGATAAAAGGTTTCGAGTGACAAAAAACAAGTTATTTCATATTACAACTCACTCCAAAGTTTCCATTATTAAATCACTGGCTGTACAGATGCAGCCTGAGGAAAGTATCTTAATTTTCTTAGCAAAAACCATGATCCTAGCCCAATTACACAACTGCAAAGGTCATTGTACAAATGTGCGAAGCATGCTAAACACTGATCCATTATCATCAGTAGTACATGAATGGTTTTTTGTTGCAGTATTTTTGTGTTTTGACACATATATTGATTCAGAGGAAAATTCTTTTTTTCGTATTACCTGTTCCCACATTCTCATAAGGCTGGTTATTGATTTAGTGTATAAAAGTACACAAAAAACTTAATGATTAGAAATTTTATTTATAGCACAATATTGTCTTGAAATGTACAGAAATAAATAAAATTTTATTTTTAGCACCATATCGTCTTGTAATAACAGGCTGTACATGCTATTACTATTAGTACATCTTTTAAGTGTAAAAGTACAAAAATTTTGATAAAGTTTTATTTTCATAACAATTTTGTTTTACAATCGCCAGTCCTACATGTCCTATCTATATGATAAGTGTAAAAGTCCAAAAAAGGTATAAAAGTAAATTTTATTTTGAGCATTGTATTGTCTTGTAATTGCAGGTCCCACTATCTATGGGCTCTCCTTGGTTGGGGCACTAGGAGAGATTGATATATCCTTCACAGAGTGCCTCCTCTTCAGTTCTCTGATAGTGGCTGTCGACCCCGTTGCAGTGAGTATCTGGAAATAGGGGATAGAACTACTAGTAGACAGTCCTATAGCTAGGCTAGGCCTCTGCCTGTCAGCTATAATGGCATTTTTCAAAGTTGAATAAAAGGATAAAATCCATTTTAGATTATTAATAATAAAAGTCTCTTTTAAGACTATTCTAATACAACTTACTCTTAAATAGTAGACACAGAAAATGCAAATCAGACCCTGGAAATAGTTGCACTGCATCAATTTTTGACAAATATTTCAAATAGACTAAGTGCATTCAATTATTAATGCATCTTTAAATTAAAGTATTTAATCAAAAGCTGGTTTTGACAGTAAATATATGTAGCTTTCATATAATATTTTTTATCCTTCATTTTGCATCAACATTTGGGGCTGGCTGTGTCAAAGCTGATATTACCCAGCATTTCATTATGACAAATAGGATGGAAACCTTACTTTAGAAAAAGAAAGAATCATTGCATTTCGGTGATTCACCATTTAAACTAGGAGTGACACCTAGTGGTGAAACACAGATGCCTGAAACCTGTGCATCTCCATTTTTTCTTTTTTTCCAATCAATAAGTATTCATCTCTGATGTTATCACTGATTACAAAAAAAGACAATATCTGTTATCTCAATTTTCATGATATTTATCTCATGTTTGACTGCTTGTCTGAAGAACACAGTTTGCTACGTACATTTGATTAAATGTATATTATTCAAAGGGTGGAGCTATATCATTCAAATCATTGCTGTACAAATTATTATTTTATTTCTCTTTTTATTTAAAGGTTCTAGCCATTTTTACAGAGATAGGTGTGAACAACGTGTTGTATATATTGGTATTTGGGGAGTCGTTACTGAATGGTAAGTCATGTCACCTAGAAAGTGGAGAATATCAATGATGATTGATTGTTTACACAGAAAATCTTGAAGCAAAGATCAAATTACTCCTCATCACACAATCAATATTTCGGGGCACTATAGTATTACTTGGTTGTCAGGACATAAAGGAAAGAAGCTTTACTGCTGATCATGAGCACTTGGATATTGTCTGTATGTATGCCAGTCTTATTAATTTGCATGGCACAGTACCAAACTACAATGGATACAAAAAGTGTGGGCTAGCTGCTGAATGTTGAAAGATGATAATGCAGAAAAGAAAAGGGATGGTTAACAAACAAACATCAAAACACAGGAATCCATGAGATAGTAATTTGTTACCCCTGTCAGGAATCCTTTACGAATGACTTATTACATTTTATCAAATTGATAAAACAGGATGTTATGAAATAGCTTCCCCCCTCCCCCCACAAAAACAAACGAAAAAAAAAAAAAATAAAAACAAATTCATATCCATAAGTATTCGTATTGTGATCCAAAGCACTCAAGTCCTCCTGCAGTTTCATTGTTAGGACAGTAGTTTGCTTTCTCAAGCTTAATTACCTATCTATCCTGAGAGAATACAGTCTATATCTCTTCAATTAAGTTAGTCAAAGTAATAAAAGAGATTACAGTTTTTGTAGCATCTCCTCCCGGAAATTTGCTTTCTGCAGTCAAAAAAAAATTTCATCAAAAGGTACATGATTAGCAAATCGGCTGCAGAGCTTTTGTTGTAGAAACTGCAAACTCACAAGATTTAAATCCCTTTTGTATTCCAATATTCATTATTTCTTTTTTCAACATTTGTCATTTTTAGTAGACCATAATATTATTTGTCATTACATAAGTCAACTTCCTTAATTATCAGAGCTCTATCTTTTTAGCCAATAATAACTAAAATCATTTTTGGGAAATACAATCGATTTTTGGAATTTAGAAATTACCATGGCCAAGAATTGCACAAGACATTTTATTAGGGGAAAACATCCAGCAGTGAAATATTGACTGTGTTATCATGCCCTCTGAGATTTGTTCTTCTTCCAAATAGATCCCAAAGGGAGCAAATCATATCTTTTTGGTGATACCTAAATTACGGTGCAATGCCGCACATTAACCCAGTAGACCTTAGAAGAATGAAGTCTATAGCATTCTTATCAGAAATAATTCCCCAGCAAAAAGGTCCCTGGAGACCAAAATGCATTTTCTGCCATAACACCAGAAATCTTTATGCTGCTTAACATATAAGTACTGGTAACGACTGCTGGAATTAGTCCTGCACGACTTGGGCTCTGTTTACAACCAAGTTGATCCCCGGACTAACTGAGCCGTGGATCAAATATGGCACAAAAGCATACCTCTTAATCCCTTACATAATCCTCTACCCCTGCAGGAACAGCAAACATGGGATTGGGGGGGGGGATTTATGTGGCAGGCTTTCAAGTGTGCTCCATAGTTGATCCACAGCTCAGTTAGCAAAGCAAGTTGTGAACAGGGTCTTGAACAGTCATTGTACTTAGGCTTCTAACATGTGTGCATCATCTGCAAATGTCTGTTAGATTATGATATACATGTATTGGCAGATATTTGTGTTGAGATTTATGAGAAAAAGACCTGGCAGTCTAGAAAATATATATTGTTTAACAGTCTTACCAACTAATGGTGTTATCTTTGATATGATCTTTTAACCTGACGTTAAAATTAACATGCGATTGCACTTTCATTGTCATTTGCTTTTTGGTTTTTGTAATTTAGATGTTTGATTGGGGTGATCAACCTTGTAACAAAATCAATACAATTCACTGGAAATAAGATTGCATCTCACACAGTGAAGAGGGATTATATAGATTCTTTCCCAAGGTTACAATTTTGTTTAAGTACATTGGATTGGTTCATTATACTTCTAATTAGCAGTTTATCTTCATGGCACACTTTCCTGATTATTATGTCATCTTTCAACAGAATGATTTGGCTTAGTGTTACATATGGAATGTGATCCAGACATTTGCACAGAGTTAGATATGTTACAGTCTTGAAACAGATGTGGATATGTTTGAATCTTGAAAGGTGGCTGTCACCCTAGCTGAGTCTCAAATTAATAATAATTGGTAACTCAGCAGTATAAATGTATAATTTCTTTATAGATTAGCCTGTGTCCTTATTGCATTATATAATTGCAGGTCCATAGGCAGGGGGTGGGTTTGGGGGTTCAAACGAATTGCCCTTTTTTGCCAGGAAAAGATCTGCTCTGGGTAAAAATTGATCTAGATGCACAAAGGTTTCATGGTCTAAGGTCCACTTTAGAAAAGAATCTTTGAAATTTCTGGCTACTGGCCTGAATTCCAAGTTTATAGGGACCATTTCCAGGCCCTATCGTACTAACTGTGGATCGATCTATCACAGTGGGTATTCTCGCTAAATTGCTATCAGCTTAAGCAGACATTAAAATCACTTAAGCTGAAAGCAATTTAGTGAGAAACCCCTTGGAGATGGTTCAATCCTGTTAGGTTGATCTAGGTATGGGAACCCAGTCACAGCAGTTTGTTTGAACCATTTGAAGATTTTTTTATCTATTAGCCATTTCTGTAAAGCATCAAAATGGTGCCAGTAAGTGGTTTGTCAGAGAAGAAAAGGATGTAAATAAGCTAAGTCATCAGCAATCATCAAAAAGCTTTAGCAGCACAATTAATACATCTTTTCTGAAATTTGGTTAATATATTTATTTGCTAAATGTGCATTAGGAAATTTTAGGTTCGTGTTCCCCATAGCAAAGTGCAGATAATGGTAGAATTTGATGCAATACTTTCTCCCATCTATTGACATTCTAATGACTAATTGTCTTTTTTTTCTCAAGGCCACTATTAATACTGTAACAGTTTAGTGCTATAAATTATCATGTTGATGTACTTTGCAGATGCAGTGACAGTGGTTCTCTACAACACAATGAAGAGTTTT